TCCAAACAACAAAGAATCAAAAGAAATCAAAACATACTTAAAGAGCTTATTGGGTCTCCTAAAGAGCAAGCCCCACAAAAATAGTTTAATTAGATGGAAAATGGCAAAAGATTTAGGCATGTTTAAATATTTGAAATAAATTTGAAATTAATATTTGGCCAATGAACTGAATGCTGCAATGGAGTGGTGTCTAAAACACATAAAATAACATTTTCCGAGATCTGGATTGCAGAGTTGTAACACTCCCAGTGAGCGCATAGTACACACATAAACACACAAATACACATTTGCATATGAACTTAAATAACCTGACACTTCTCCCACTTGGGCCACAAACAGTGCAAGGAGCATTCAATCATTTCAGCAAAGTCAGAAAACCACAGTCTGTGCAGGTCAGACAAAACACTTGTGTAAAATAATTTCTACATAAACAGATTAAATACAAACAAACGCCTAATGGCGACATTTCCAGGTTCTACAGATCATCATGAACGCCTCTGCTCTAAGAAGACCCGATCGCCATGCAGCTGGTGTCAATATATTTGCATTTCTCTCTGAAGACATAAATGGCTGATTTTAAGACCAACTGCAATAACACATATTAAAAATACAAGACCTTTGATTTAAAGGAAGTGGAACCCAGTCAGATTTAAATTAAGACGTTTAATCAAACATGTAATATAAAAGAACTGCAATTTTAAGAAATGTTCCATATTGTGATGTGAGGGTGAGGCAAGAGAAGGCCCAAAGTGTCAATTTAATTCCTTTAGGCCTTTTTTGTTGCACTTAAAACAGCATGGATGAACATCAGAACTCTTGCCAGGGCTGAGCTGTCCATCACGCTATGTGAAAACTGCCATTTGGATCTCAGCGACCATTTCAGATCTCTAGGTACAGTGCAGCTAAGGACCAGCAACTAAAAAACAAGCATAAATCCAATAAAAGCATGATTAGACTGAAACCCCATAGTGAAGCCAATCAATGCCAAAAAAAAATCCTTTACAAATGGCTTAATCATCTATGATGTGGGTGCATGAGTATAAGCAGCATTTCCAACACCTAAAATATGTTTTTTCAAAATAAGCTAACCTTAGTAACATCCACTTCCATCACTCAAGTGACTAATGCAATTTCAGAGCCAGATTTTGACTACTAGGCCACATTATTTAGGCGAGAAAAAAAAGTGTTCCAAGACTGACAGAGAGACCGAATTATGAATGTACAAAGCTCTCCTCAGAGATAGAAACCTGACGCTGTCAAGACCAGCACTGTGCGAAGGAAAAGAGAGAAATCTCCCAGATGACTGATACTTTGCACATATATTTTCATTTTTAAAGCAAATATCAATCTCCGACTGAACAGGCAGTAAAGGTTAGGTATTTATGAGCTCACTGGGAGTGTGGCAGGTACAAAGGCCCAACTGTGGGCGGCAAGAAATTTGCCAGTCTTTATGCATTGAGGGTTAGTCGAGTCCTTAATACAACGTAAACAGGCTTTAGAGCTTTACTTTCCGACACATTTACAGCTAAAATTAAAAAGCCATGTTTCATCATGCCCTCTAAAATGTGAAATGTAGCGTATCCTGGCACATTACATTGGGCAGCCAAGGGAAAGTAATTATTTGATAAGTGTTGGCAGACGTCTGATCTCTTAGATAATCGTGGCAGCTCATTTCCTATTATATTCATTGCAGACCTTTTGGCCTGTGATTTATATTACCATTAGCATTTTTCAGGCCATTGACCAAAAAGACGAAGAGAAAGGTGGGTAAGACTTATCTTAATGTATCCATAATGCAATATGCTGCCACAAGCTATATAAAGATCAAGATAACCAAGTACTGACAAAAAATAAATATGATATTTTTGCCAGATGTGGGCATCCATTTTAGATGATGAAAAATAGTAAAACTAGAATTTTTTGAAGTTTAGAGCATGCCATGCAAACACCATGAAAATGATAAATAAATGAACGAGACATAATTTTTCCAATATTATATGGATAAATATAATTGAAAATGTTTCATTTAAAAATAAATAGGTTGAAAATGTTTCCATTGCCATACAGTAAAGTATAGTGACCTTCCACCTAGCCTATAACAATATTACTCTGATGCCACTTCATATTTTTATCAAGATATGATTTATATATATATATATATATATAATGAATAAAATATTTTTTAGAAGATAAAATCATGGCATGTATCATGAAGGATATTTTTTACAACATCATAGATACAAAAAAACATTCCAACAATGTCTCACAAAACAGGCCGCAAAACACTTCTATTGCCAGTTTATAATGGTGCCAGTTTATCTCTGATGTCACTGAAGCTGGATAATGCAATTGAACAGCTATAAACTCTGCCAGCTGCTCTACCGCAAACCCAAACAGAGCGACACGGACTTAGAGCTTGTATCACACCATCACTAAAGACAAGTGAAAATACACAGATCATTGTCCGAGCTTATATCCAAGACCTAAACATCCAGCTCTGACAGAAGGCTTACACAAAGGATTGGGTAATAGAGAACAATTAATCAAAGTGTTAAAACTGCTAGTAGGCCATATATTTCTCCTCACATTCTGTTTATTAAACAAGAAGCCAAGTTTTTTAATCCAGCCAACATTCAGCATTTAATAATAAAAGATGAAATGCACAGTAACTTCTTGTGTTTGACACCTCAGATATAAAGATTTATAACTCTGCAGAAAGAGCAGAGAGAAGTTTACAACCTGTGATATAATATACACAAGCAACACAGAGATTTATAAAGTCCTTCCAACAAAAAAACGGACGGTTCACGAGGGCTACGTCAGTTTTACAAAGTTAGAACATGTGGTTGAATGGGCATTTCTTCAACATCTATGAAGGGTTTTTTAAAGACGGGAGTCTTGATGCTTGAGTAACTGTACTGTACACTTGAAGACCAGATTAAACCAATGAGTTTCACTACGACAAGTCAAATCCTCCCTCATAGGCTTTTCTTGAAGGTAAAGTGGCTTTTGTGTCAACATTCAGTCTGGCAGTATAATGCACTGAGTTCCACCGCAGTGATTTATAATCTACCTACTATTATTAAAACCAAAGACTGCATCACGGAAGCCGTCTGTTTCCATTTTGCCCACCGCTCTAAAAAATATGACATAGCTAGATATATGTAGCGTAGTGTCTATAAAACTCCATCTGAAAAGGTTTAAATTTTGTGACAAAATATCCATGGATACTATCTAGAACAGATGGGAAAACACTATTGAATACATTTATAAAGATAAGGTGAAGGAAGCCACATATTGACAAAAAACTCTCAAAATCCATCAGCTAAAAGGTCAAACTAAATCATAAAATGGAGCCTATACTAAAAGTACATACATCATGGCACACAACGAACAAAGCAGGAATCTGGAAAAGAAAAATCTGTCCAAGCCACCACACTCACCGCTTTAAGTTATAAATGAGGAGCAACTGTTAAGATTCCCCACTGACAACTCAATGCAGAAAGCTTTGCATGTCATGGACAAAAGACACTCTATAGCATAAAGTCAGAGTAACCAAGATATATTACTTGATTAGCTAGCAGCAGCAGGTTGTTGTTTTGTTAGTAAAATGTGTCATACATGTTGATATATTATAGTATTCACTGTAGTAAAACTTAACCTAACATTTTAATTGAAATTACTTTAGTTTTTTTTGCATACGTTTGCTTTTATGCTTAGGTTGAAAGCATCATCACCTGATTAGTGCTTTACACAATCTGTTTTAAAGTCAATTTTCCTGTCCACTATTTAGTGGACACATTGTAATTTATATTTTTATATATATATAAAATATAAATATAAGGAAAAAATGTTAATTGAAATATTTAAATTTTCATTTTTTCCTTTGATTAATCCTGGGCAGTACATCTATAAAATATGATCTCTGTATTATCTAGCCTATGTAAAAACAGAAAATAAAATAGTGGTGATAAATAATGCATATCACTGAGCCTCAAAATACTATTTAAAACACTGCTTTCACACATCTATCTGTACACTCATTAACAATAAAAACAATGTAGGCCAATAATATGACCTTAAACTAAATCAGGTCACGCTTTATTTTACAGTAACCTATCCAAGTTGCAGTATTTATGGGTACATTCGGTACTCGGACATTTATGAACTACATACAGCATACCTTGTAATTATTTTGTGTAGCTGCCTGTACTTACATACTGTTATTGTTTTGACAATTGTAGTAATCCATAATAGTAACATCCGATATATATATATATATATAACATAGAGACACTCTAAAATAAGGAGTTACGCAAAAGTGCACGACTACATCCAAGTTGGTTTTTGGTCATTTTTAGACTAGATAACACTGAAAACTAGAAAAGTTCATGGAAGTTAATGTACCTTTTCAAGTCCTTTGCTCAGTATAATTGGATGCTATCTAATGTCTAAGCACTATTCTAAGGCAAATGAAGCGGCTCAGGCCGTACAAAGAGACTCCAGCTGAGAGCTTAAGACTGTCACTCTCTCAATCAGTGCACTTGAAGAGCTCTTTTGTCATTCCAATGGCACAAAAACTGTTTAGATAGCCCTTTGGCAACATAAGTCAATAGGTAAACAAAAAACACCCTGAAGACTACTGAATGAAATGACACCTCTAACTATTTGGCTTACATGAAGTTGGCTTACATGACATGAATAACATTTAAATATCATAAAAAATGTAATTTTACATAACAGTGCACATGTAGCCTATGCAAGTACAAATAAACATTTTATTGTAAGCAAATTATTTACCAACATTACTTTTGCAATATTGTATCTTTAACATGGGCATCGTTCTGTAATTTGAGACACTGTTTCCTGAAATGATTAAATAATAATATAAATATTTTAGACTGCTCAGTATTATTTCCTGTGAATGTGTTGAACTTAACCAAAATAATGTTTAATTCGGTTATGAACACAGTGTTAAATGCATGAGTTTGATCGCCTACCGCAGATGACTACGAGCAACACGATGATCAGTGTGAAGTTGCGCTGGCATCCGTGCGGCTCTTTCGCTGTTCCTCTGCTCATTTCTTCAGCCTCTGAGCGCTCTTACATCCACCGCAAGTTCTTCTCACAGGTCAGTGTTATAGCTGGACAATGCAGAGCTCTTCAGGTCTTTACTGAGCCTCAGATGTCCGCAGAGGTGTAATGTTGTAGGCGGATGGTCCTCTGCTCTGCTCTCTCCTTCTCTCGCTCCTGTTTGGAGTTTGAAATTTCTTCAGTCCCTTCAAGAAGTTTCCACTTTCCAGTCAGTCTGAGGACATGTGCTGCTCAATAGTGTGTTTGGCGCCACCTGCTGTTTAAGTACAGGGCTGTTAGAAAAAAATAGGTTTAAATTGTGGACACTGTTGGAAATTGGGGTTTCATAACATTGAATTAAACAACTCCATCGTGCATTGGGAAGCTAACAAAATTAATTAACCAAACAAAACAAAATTTGGCGTGACTAAAATCTAATTCAGTTGACTGCTAAGCTAGCAACAGCACGTTAGCATGGTAAGTGTAACTTATTAATTTGTGAAGAATAGCGTCAACAAAAAATAATTTAAGAAAACGTTTGCGATATTTACGACCAATTTAATTCATATTCAGCCTAAACACTAGTCTCCATTCTTCGTCTCAATGGTAACTCCCAAAACTTTAAAGAAACTCCTGAATCATAATCTTTCATGACAGTGGAGAATAACAACTAACCTTTTCATCTTGCTCAAAATCACATAAAATAAAGCTGCAGTCCGCAGTTTTTCCTCTTTGTCGCCATCTCTGTTCGAAATCTGCAATTGCAGTTATTCACAGAATTATCAACTTTACGTGAGTTGTACCTCGGCACGGAACAGCGCGGATGAATCCAATGTTTTGAGGAGAATGTGCGGCTATCAGTCGCCGCGCCGGTGTGGATACTGTCATTCGGAATCACAGATTATACTTTTTGGAAGTATGACCAACAGAGGTATTTTCACCCTAAATTGTCATCTGAACAAGTAAGTAACATCCACTTTTGTTCTGACCAACTAAGGGAAAAAAAGCATTGCAAATCGCGCTGATTAAATCTAACGATTGCTTATCATATCACGTCAAACCATGCAAATTATACTTTGTTCTCAAATTGTTAATGTTAACAACATCAGCATTGCGTGACTACATTTAAAGCCCTTCAGATATTTATCCTTGTTTTCGCATTGGCCGGTTGCAGTCTCTTTTTCCAAACTCTCAGTCCAAAGTCTTTTGCATTTTACAACGGGTGAATCTCCAGTTGTAATTGGTGATTGTCGTTTGAACCTTTCTGGATCTGCCATCAAATTGATAAGTTTAATTATATCAAGTGCTGTGAGAAAAGGCTATAACTCTCCACCTCCAACATCCTCACACGCAATATAGCCGACTAGCCGAGACTCCTTCTTTATGTGTACAGATGTGACGTAATACCGCAAAGACATGCTCGAATCTCCCGCGGAAATCCACCAGTACCACTGGAATTAAAAACATTATTACAAGCTTACCGCTTTGAATCGAGCTACGGCAAGCAGATAGTTTTCTGGCTGGTTATGTATTTGCTCAAATTTATTTTGGATAATTTTTAACCCAAAAAAGCTACGGACTGCAGCTTTAATTTCACCATTGACTCATTCTAGTGCCTCGAAAAGCATTTTTACTTCCCACCGGAGCCTCGCTTTCGATTTCAAAATAACGGCTGCGTGAAATCAGCGTATAGGCTACAGGAGTAACTCCCTGTCCCAAATGGCGCACTTCATGCGGACTTTCTCGTGGACTTAAAATGACTTTATGCACAGCTGCACTACTTCCTGAACTTAAGCCAGCTCCTTTATTTCCTGTCTTACATTATTGGACACACTGATTAATTCAGGTGTGCCTGACCTCAGTAGTCATAGCAACAATAATCAGACACACCTGGATTAATCAGTGTGTCCAATAATGTAAGACAGGAAATAAAGGAGCTGGCTTAAGTTCAGGAAGTAGTGCAGCTGTGCATAAAGTCAATTGCGCGTGCTCGCCGAGTCTACGAGTCCGTAGGCCTTCTTCTGCCTTCTTCTGCGAAGCCCGCATAGATGCAGGCTCCACGCACTTTAACTACCCAGGAATCCTTGCGAAAGGCCAATCAGACAACGGATGGGAGGAGATTTCGCTCACCGACAATTGTTAACATGGCTGAGAAGAAAATATTTAAGTGTAATTATCATTACGGTTTTTATGACAAGTTTATACAAACATTATGCTCATCGACCAGTGGTTGATGTCTCAAACATAGGCTAATAATAGCGAGCTGAATAATACGATCGCATTATGATTCATTAATAAATAGAACAGAATGTCAGGGCTTTACTGAGTCATATGTAAACACAACAACAATAGGCAGCATATTTCCCCGAACCTGTAGCTCCTGTCTATAACAACAATCAGACTGTCTTCCTGTTTCTGGCGTGACGATCGAGTCTGTCCCAAAAATACCTCTCAATGCGCCCTCGCGGACTCGCGCTAAGGGCCCTATAGGTCTGCACTATATGATGTCACCGAAGTGTGGACTCTGAGGAAGTCCACAAGTCCGGAGTGTGCCATTTGGGACAGGGCCTCTCTCCGCTCACGCATGTAAATGGGTTATTCCGAATGTTTCAGAAACCCGAATAGTGACCTTAACCCGACCATAACCCGAATATTGACAGCTTGTAAACGTAGTCACTGTCTTGTATACATTTTTATAATGAAGTAAATTTTATAATGCTGCTGTATAAATAAAAAGTAGTAAATTAGTAATGAAATTAATTACTAATACAAATAAATATTATTTAGCATATTAGTATTTTATATTTATACTTTTTAATAAATGTAATAATAATATAACATTTTAATAATTGAATATTAATATAATATAGGTCTACTCTGGAAATTAAGGAATTTTAATAAGGACCCTGACCATGTTTTATTGATCAATGACTGAAAGCATTTTAACCTATAGTATTTTTTGTGATTTAATTTGACAATCCATTTTTTTTTTTTAAGTTAACACGTGTAATTAAGGAAGTCAAGATCACCGAGCAGAAACAGAATAAATTGCAGGCTTTGTTTTCACATTTCATGGCAATAAGGGCAATTGGAGTGTATTTAGAGTCAGACTCATCCCCTCCATTCCTGCTTTGATTCCCTCCCTTCACAGACTGCGTTTACCCTTAGCTAAAAATGAACAAATATAAAAGATAATTTGTTTCTTTGGGAGTTTAAACCAAATTCTTTTTACAATGGGTTTGTGTATGTATAAAGTTGTCAAATAAGTTGTATGTATTTTTATGACAGTGTTAAAGCTGCTGTAGGTAACTTTTGTAAAAAATATTTTTTAAATATTTGTTAAAACTGTCATTATGTCCTGACAGTAGAATATGAGACAGATAATCTGTGAAAAAATCAAGCTCTTCTGGCTCCTCCCAGTGGTCCTATTGCCATTTGCAAAAATACACGCTCCCGGTCAGAAACAACCAATCAGAGCCAGGAGGAATGTCTTAGCAGTGTCAATCACGCTCGTGTACGCGCTGATCACACCCCTCTCTTGCACAGCGCGAGCCGTCGTTCAAACTCAAGATTGCCGGCGTGCTGCAGCTGTGCTTATGACGGAGAAACAACCTAAACTGCCAATTCTCGAGTGACACCTGCTCATAAAACAAAGAGGTAAAAGGAAAAAGAACGATGACGATAAACAAGCGAAAAAGAAAGAATTACACAGAGCCCATTGACTCGGAGTCAAAACTTTAGCCGCATAACATGTAGATAAAATGTCACGGACTCTGCTAAGCAACAATTGAAACCTGCTAATTCACTGGCTTGTCATGTTGCTGAAATAATGTACTAGCACACCTTATCTAGCATTATATATCGCTAGAATAATTACTTACATACTGTAACATTAGTTACCGTTATTAACGTTATCTTACTAGCTATTTATAACTTATAGAAAGAGTGCAACGTTATAAAGTTACATGTATTGCAAAATACATAATGATTTGAGGTTTGTAGTCAAAGTATGGGCAGGCAAATGTAAAGTCAAGTCAAGTCAAGTCAATGTAAAGCATATTGTTGACGTTTAGTCCCTATTAGTGAATGTGCCATTATAACCTTTTATCCGCTGTTATCGTTGGCCCTGTTTACTAGCCTGCGCGTTCACGACAGGCTCCGCTGTGGAGGACGAGCTGTGGAGGGAGGGCTGTAGCGCAGCAGAGAGCAAGGGGGTGGGACCTGTAAGCTGTGCTTGTTCAAATTTTCAGGCTAAGTCAACGTTTTCTCAAAACTCCCTACTGCAGCTTTAAAGATGAATTTCCGTTTGGTGAAAATCTGAATGGATTTTCAAATTTATATTAAAGGCACATTATGCAGAAATTGTGTTTTAGTCAAACAGTGACCCCTATAGTCGCTGTGGAACACTTACACTGTCGTAAATAGCTATCTAGACATATGTGGAGTGGACATTTTTGGACTGGTCTAATTATCAACAATGGATGAATGAACAGCATTGTAAAAAAAATGGCATACTACAAGCAAGCGCAACAACATAGAACGCAATCAAGTTTAGAAATAAGAGATTTAGGCTACTTAATCCATCAACAAGATCGCCAGGTCAGCATCGCGGTTGAATCCAGTGCTGCTTTTTAGCTCGCGCCAACTAGTGAAAGCCCGACCGAGTGGGACTGTCACAAGGAAATAGTCAAAGGATTCAGTTGCGAGTAAACAGTAATTTATTGAGCACAATAGTAGATATCCGTGTGGGTCAAAATGGAAGCAGACAGAAGAAGACTCAGGCTCGGCAACGCAGGGACGCAGTGGGCAGACACAGATGCTAGAAATTCCTCCGGGAAAATCTCAGGAAACCACAGCATGGTACAGGAGTGGAATGCAGGAGAACACGGCGAGTAGAACCCTGGTAGCCTCAACAACCAACTGACAAAGACAGGACGAGGTAACAAACAATATATCGGACATCCTCATTCAAAACAGCTGGCGCTGATCAGCTCATCAGCCGCGCCCGCCCTCGCGCTCACTCACACAACACGCACACACATAGCGAGGGCGAATCAGGGACTCTTTTCCGGTTCCTCACGCGGACAGATTCTCTTTTCCTTTTCCAAGTCTCTTCCGACCGCGTTTTCTTTGCTTTTTCCATCGTCAAGTATCACGTCT